GCGGGCGCGGGGGGGCGGAGCTTGGGCCGCGGGGGCGGGGCCGGCCCGGCGGCACCTGGGAAACGCCCGCGCCGGTTGGGGCAGGCGTGGCCGTCGGGGCTGAGGGCGGTGGCCGGCCGCGGTCTGGACGTCGGGCCGGGCGCGGGGGGCGGCAGGGAGGCGGCGCTCTCGGGCCGCGGGCGGACGTGGTCTGTGAGGAGCGCCCGGACGGCCGGGCCGGCGCCTCCTGAGCGCCGGCGCCCATTTTGCCCGCCCGCCGAGAAGAGCCGTGCGCGGCCTACACGCTCCGGGGACCTCCCTCAGGCGGCATCGCCGCGCGCGCCGGCCTTTCGAGCCCAAGGGACGCTCTTTTGAAATTCGGTCCTGAGTTAAGGTTTTCTTTTATTTTGTTTTGTTTCCAAGTTAGGGGCCCTGAATTTGGGACCACTCTCTTTACCTGGACCACTTCCGGTGGCCGGCCCCGTAACTTCGGTTCGGTGACCTCGGCCCGGAATGCCCCTCGGCTCGCCCCGGGCTCACGTCCCGATCCCGGCTTGAGTGGCCCGGGGTGGGTGACCTGAAGTTGTAGCCTCGCTGCTCTCGAGGCGGATAATTAGCCCAAGAAACACTATATTCATGTGAGTAACCTCTTGGCAGAAACAGTGTTACACTGTGTCTGAAAAAGTATCACTCCTAAGCTTGGCGGCTGCTACTTTCTCCAAAGGCTTTTAGGTATTTATTTGTTCAATACAGGGAAGGGGAAAGGGGAACTGAAGTTTCTGTTCGAGGTCGGATGTATCGCAGATCGCAGCAGATATGCACAAGTTTCCTCAGCTCGCCTTGTCTCGGTGATATCAGACCTGGTGAAATTATATGTAAAAGTAATTTTCTTTTGAGGTGTGATAAACGTGCAATAGGGGACAGTACACATCTCCCACTCCCGAGGCTAGGAATTACACGCGGATTCTGGGAACAATTCAAAACCAAAGAAAAATCTATGCCGTGCTGCCGCCACGGCCAGTCAGTGCCTCTGTGGGTTTGATCTGCTTCTCTGTTCCATGTGTAGTTGGGAGACAGGCGGACAGGGCAGTACTGGAAAGGGAACATGCCCAGGGTGCTGCTGGAGGAGGTGTTGATGCTTTGCTCTTTTCTCCCAAGTCAGTTCCAACCCCGATCTCCCCACAAATAGGGCCCACGTCCAGTGGAACTATCTGGAACATCCATGCCAGCAACCTCCATTTTTACCTAATGTTTAAGAATCATATTGCACATCCTTCCATGATTAATTTTGATAATGATGAAGCTGGGGCGAAATTTCGTGTGTGCAATTACACTGGACCCATCTAATTTTTCTCTTAAGCTTCAATTTTACAGCATATATTGTTTTCAATGGCTATTCGCGGCTAGTATGCCCTGCGCTGATGGTGCAAGTATGGCTGTTCTTATTTTTATGTTTTGTGATGGGACGTCTTGCGTTTATAAGCACTTTTAGGCAGCTTCGAGAAGAAAAACACCTTTTGTCTATGGTTGGTGTTAGTCAATCTCATATCCCACAATGATGTTCTCTACCTTTTATAATGCTCATGGCTGCATTTTACAGCTCTAAAGTTCAATTGGAGTAGAAAAAAACTATTAATATTTATGGCAAGCTTATCATGTGCTAGACACTCTACTAAGCATTTGTATACCTTGTATGTGTAAACTGCCCCAATTGGAATCAGCCTCTGCAACTTCCTAGCTGTGTTACCTCATGCAAGTTAGCTAACTTCTCTGTGCCTTACTTCCCTCATCTTTAAGTGGGGGTAATAATAGTATCCATCTAATGGGTGACTGTGAAGATTAAAAGAGTCAATTTATAAACATGTAGGAAGTGCTAGGTAAGTGCTGACAGTTATAATTAATTTGTTCTTTAATTCTCATTTGACATCTTAGAAAACTGGAGTGTAGACAGTGTAACTTATCCGAGGTCACAGAGCTAGTAAGTGGCAAAATCAGCATTCATACACAGGCCGGGCTGACTCCAGGGCTTGGTAACTTCACCCATTGTAAGTAGATGAGTTTATTAATTGACTTCAAATAAAGTAAGTGTATTCAACTGATTCATGTTTAAAAACTGTTCAAACCTGGAAATTAAACCAAATTATACTTCTTTTAAAAGACACAAAATGATTCATTCTGTAAATGAAAAATAATGGTTTTACTTGCACTACCTACCTAAGCAAGCCCTTCTGTGTGGTCTGTCCTACTTAAGACATAGTTCACAAACTGCCTTATTAAGAAATATTCTGTCTAGGCCAGTGTGGTCCCTGGCCATGGCATCAAGGTAACCCTCACGGGGACAATCTTTTTTAGTGCATTCATGGGTAATAAAGGTATATAAACACTTCTTTTATTTTTGGCCACGCTGTGCAGCATGCAGGATCTTAGTTCCCCGACCAGGGATCGAACCTGTGCCCCCTGCATTGGGACCACGGAGTCTTAACCACTGGACCACCAGGGAATTCCCTATAAACACTTTTTTGAATCCATTTGAATTTGCAGCTGGTAGTATTCCTTGAGTTGAGTGGAACAGGTTTATGTTCTGTGTTTTGTATTGCACATTGTACCTAAGTTTATCTCGAGGTTTTCAGAGATTCATCTTGGTTCAAGGGGTCCTGAATTTTGTGCACAACTGTCATATGGAGGAGAATGTTCTCTAGTCAAATAAATTTGGGGAATGTTAAAATAAAGTTTCTTTACTGCATAACTTGCCAGAGGTTTTACTGTACTTATGTTCTTTATGATTCTACAAGATTCCCAAACTTATTTGACCAAGGAAAAAGTTAGGGGCAAGTGTTCCAAGGATCACTTTTAGGGAAACTGTATTCCATTCATACAACCTGCGATTTTGTGGCTTTGATCTTAATCCCTCTCTCTGAGCCTTGGCTTTTCTCTGCTGAGGCTCTTGATTCGTGCTCACAGGGCAGCTTCTCAGTCCCTTGATCACTGCAGTTGCCTTTCGCTGGGCCTTCACACTGTCTCTGGTAGCACATGCAAGTCCAGGGTTGTGTGCTGGCATTTGTCCCAGGTTCATCCTGCTGATGCCCAGCATGTTGTCCTTCAGGTCACAGCAGCACACCACGCTGTCTTTCTTCTGAGAATATTTTGTAGTGACTCATAGGCCTCTTTGTAGTGATTCTTACTAACTCAGAGCATCCAATTTGTTTGCCCTCTATGCCAGTGGAATTATTTCCTTTTAATGTCGATGTACCAGTAAAATTTTGCTTTTCATTCAAAACAGATTTAAATGTCAATGTGTCAACGTGTTAGTTGTGGCTAGGACCTATCTGTGAAGTTGAGATGGTCCTAAAACCTTTAACATTTGGTTTCTACTTTGAGGGGGGGCACGTGTTTCTTTTGTACTCAAAATTCAGACTTTAATATATTTTATTTTGACATTAGTATTTACTGGGTTTTGTTTTTATCTCTCCTTTCCAAAATCTTGGGGAGAAAGAGTGGCAGAACAATTGTATCTGCTAAATGGAAAAAAATGGCTTTGAACAAAATAATGTATAGCTATATAACAGACCCAGAGAGTCACTCCCTACCCATGCTCATGTGGTCTTTGCCTCCCCTCTCTACTCAGCATACGTATCCATCCACTCACAGGAACACTGTTTGACTAGTATCTGAGGCTTAGGGTGTCCTGTGCTGTATTATTCCTTCTGTTGAGGTGCTTGTAACACTGTACTGGGGTGGGGGGGGGCGCGGACAGGACTTGTGAAATAAGCAGAGCAAAATGCGAAGCAATGTATAATTAGCGGTCAAATCTGAGTTTTAGTTTAGACATAAATGCTACAGTATTCATAAGAGGCAGGAAGTTTTCATCAAGAAGGCAGGCACCTGCCCTCTGCGGTAATAGTACTGAGATAGGCAGAGAGGCCCGGGGAGGAACATTAGGTGAGTGGAAAGCGAGAGCAAGGATGCAGCGCTAGACATGATGAACCTGGTATTGGGGGAAAGTTGGTCTCAAGTACAGTGGTAGTGGTGCTTGCTGGAAATGGTGACAGGGGGGATGCACCAACTGAAGAAGAGGAAGAAGTCCACGATAACTCACAAGTTTTGAGTCCGCAGGATCAGGAGAGGCTGTGTTGCCACTGCGAGAAATCAGGATTTGGTTTAGGAGAAGGTGTTCCGCTTTAGGTGAGTTTGAAATGAGAGAGCCCTGTAAGACAAAAGCTACGATGGGCTCAGAGTCAGGTCCACTCAGGGTGCAATGGGCGAGGCAAGTGTGATGCTCATAAATTATTCACTACAATCAGACCATTTCCTAAGTCTATAGAAGATATTTTCCACTTACCTTTTAGGGAAGGTAAACCAGTAATGTTAAGGAAAAACAACAACAACAAATCAGACTCAGATTGTTGTTCTTGAAAAGAAGCCTTGGTTCAGCTCAATTAGTTCTTCTTTCTGGCATCATCCTGTGTTCTGGCATCTCGTTTCCTCTTGACAATCTCATTTGAGGGTTTAACAACCTCCCAAGTTGTGCTGCAGTCCCTCTCTTACCTAAAGGCCACCTAACGGAAGTAGGAGGCCTCTGTTTTTTTGGAGCAGATCCCCCAATGCCGTGTCTGCACTCTGCCCAACATAGACACCCAGTGAAAGCACGCTGCGACGCTGTAAGCTGGCTCCAAAAGGTTCATTCCTGTAAAATGCAGCTCAAGTTGTTGTGAGGCCCTGAATGAGACCCAGACCTGGGCAGAGGATCCTTATGGGGTCGGAGCTGAGTCTGCGTTATGGAAAGAGTTTGCCCAGAGGTGTGCTTCCTTTACACCTCCCAAAGGGCAGATGGGCTTTTCTGACCTTCTGACTTGGGAAAACAGAATTTAAACCCACGCGTCTATGGAAAAATGGGCTCCTGTGACATCCTGAAGCATTATTAAAGTGAAACAAGGACCTAGATGGGTGACTATCACTTGCTGTCTCTCAGCTCTGAGGTCTGTTGCAACGATGCGACCATAATTATTTTCCCTAAAATGAAAACTCCCTTCTGGAAATGCCTAGCCATTATAAGTAACCTTTCTAAGCAAACTGATAAATAGGACATTTGCCCTTAAAACAAACTTCTAATTTCAATTTAGAAAGCCATGCACATTACATGATTTGACCTTCACAGTCTTACCTTTTAAAATGGAAACTGCTTGGAAAGGGCTTTTACCTGGAGAATATGGCATGCATGTGTCTGTTATACTGCTTTCCTGCCCAAATAAGTGTGCCCTTATACGCACTCCTGTGCATATTCCGTTGCTCACTGCATTTTGTCAGATGCTGCTTGCTGAATGCAAAGACTGTGAGACCACTGCCCGGCTTCCTGTAGTGCTAGGCCCACATTTCCACGGAGCCCCTCACCTAGCAGAATTTTTGAGTGCTTCGCAGTCAGCAGCATCACCCAGGGTTCTGCCTGAGTGTCACTTCAGTGTCTGCCAGGGAGCTTCAGACACCCTCAGTTCTGTTTAGGCTGTGCAGATAGACATAGGTGAGGTTTGCTTCTAGTTGGTGGTTGCTAGTACCAGGTCACCTTGCTCATTGGTGAGTTCATTCCAACCCAAAAAGTCACACCTGTGTCCTGTGCGCGGGTGCTGCAGGCTTAGGTGGAGAAAAGCAGGGCTAGAATTGGAATCCAAAGCCCAGGATGGCAGGAGAGGATGTGGGGGCTCCACCCGATCACCTCTGGGTTCACCAAGAGGGTATCTACCGCGACGAACACCAGCGCACGTGGGTGGCCGTCCTGGAAGAGGTAACTGTTTACATTTTGTTTATTTCTTTCTTGATTTTTGCTTTCAAGCAACTTGGTTTCTAACCAGTCTCAATATCCTGAAGTCTTTGGTTTTATTTTTGATCGTTTCTTTCCATTAGGAGACGAGTTTCCTAAGGGCACGAGTTCAGCAAGTTCAGGTTCCTTTAGGTGACGCAGCCAGGCCAAGTCACCTTCTCACCTCCCAGCTACCTCTCATGTGGCAACTCTACCCCGAGGAGCGCTACATGGATAACAACTCTCGCTTGTGGCAGATCCAGCATCATTTAATGGTACACATGTTGCTTAATAATTTTTCATTGTACTGGGACTCTTATAACGGAGTACTCTATAAACTTTTCTTTTTCTGACAGGTCAGGGGAGTACAGGAGCTGTTGCTTAAGCTTTTGCCTGATGATTAATCTGGTATGTATTTCTTTTTCTCCCCTGTCCCCACCCCCCCTTCTTCTTTTTCACCTTATTCGATTGTGGTGATTTTAATAATCTTTTTTTTCCAGGTGCTGGGATTCTAGGAAGATATGCCCCTCTGTTCTGTTCAGTATATGGCAATCACGTCATCCACCACTGCAGTGCACCCACCTGTGGGCCTGTGGGGAGGGAGTGGGTTGAAAAACTGCTCAAGAACACAGAAGTTTAGGAAGGGTCATGAAGAACACCGAAAGTGGAACTGCAGAGAAAGGGTTATGCAGGCAGAAAGCAAGTCAACAAAAGCACTTAGTTAGGATACGTAACTTGAAATTGACTCCTTTGGAAATTGCCATAGAACCGTTAATGGACATCATCAGCTGGAACTGGGATCTGATGAATCCCACAAAAGTCAGCACCTGCTACAGAACAGATGCCCTGATCACCAAGGACTTGGTACTGATTTAGAGAGAAGAGAGCAGCTCCTAGCAGCATCAACATCTATTTGTCGCTTATTTGCCCTGCAGCAATTCACCTGCCTTTCCTTCTCCCATCCTGTAAATATCCTAGGTTTTGCTCCAGTGTTTCCCATCCCAGTACTGACCTAACTTGGATCTACTAAGAACTTAGGGGGCTCTGAGGAAAAAAAAAAAGGGGGAGATCATTTGCATTAATGAAATTAGCTACAAAGGCTCCTGGGCCTTTTTCCTTTCTGAAATTGTGTCTTCAAATTTTTAGAAGTTGCTGATCAGAATCGTGGGCACTTAAATTTATTCTCTGGTTACGAATATTTTAAATAAGTTGGTTTCTGTAAGAACTCCAAAAAACGTTTTAGCTGCTTACCTAGCACCTTTCTCAGGAAGTAATAATAGCACCAAATATTGCTGATTCACTACCTGATAAAGATTATTTCCTGAGTTAAAATACTCATAGCAGTTTGTATACTTTAAAAGAAGGGTTTTACTTTTTAAAAAATCTTGGGAATAATAGCTATCACGTGTTGAGTCCTTACTGCCTTCCAGGCACTGTTCTATGCACTTTATATACTGTATCACGTTTAATTCTTCCATCAATGCTTTCAGGTAGGTATGATCTCTATTTTACACACAAGTAATAAGGAAAAAGGCTCAAGGAGTTAAATCATTTATCAAGAGTGGTTCTCTGAGTGACAGAGCCGGGCAGTGGGCTGACTTGTCAGGCTGCAGCGCCGGCTCCTCTAGCCCAACGTTGGTTTACAATAGTCAAGATGAGTTGAAGTCAAGGTTTTTTCTTCCCTATGTAAAGCTATTTATATCTTCCAAGCCAAATGGAATATTATAAAAATACAGTTAATTCATCCTATGAGCAGGAAGAATATTTTTTAGTGTAATTGTTTTCCAGCAATTGTAAGAGCATACTGCTTGTCTCAGAAGAAAATTCCATCGAGGGGCTTTAAAGTCTTTATGTATAAAAGACAAAATAAAAATAATTTTTCTTATTTTAGTTTTCTGGATATGCCGCAGAAGGATCCGTGCCAGAAACAAGCCTGTGAAATACAGAAATGTTTACAAGGTAGTATGTTAAATGCTTTTCTATATTTTTCAACTTTATCTGTGAACTAACAAGAGAACAATTGTTCTTTTTATCAGCAGACTATATTAACTCCTCTCAGAATGTAATATTTCTATAATTAACTTATCCTAAAGATTTTCCTCACTGTGTCATCAAGGATGGCAGAAAATAAAAAGTGGTGTGACCTAAGCTTGGGGTTTACAATCCTGGTTGTACATTTAGAATCACCTGGAGGGCTTCAAACACTTGCCTAGCACAGTTAAATCAGACTCTCTGGGGGTGGGGTCTGGGCAGGAATCAGTCTAAAAAGCTGACCAGGTGATTTTAATGTGCAGCCAGAGTTGAGAATTAATAAGCTGAGCAAAGTCCTTTTTAAAAAAGACTAGTTTTAAGTGGGTTGGTTAGACTGCACTGTGGCTGACAACTCACTTTTTATAAGCAGTCAGGTTAGAAGGGATGGGGGTGAAAATACATTTGGAATTCAGGCAACTAACTCTTGAAGGCAAATGTAAATCAGCTAAAGCATATTTGATGTAAGTGATTTTTCCATTTTGTTTTAAATAAGCTGATAAATTTGACCATATGCTAGAGGATTTTACTTTTTTTTTTTTTTTTTTTTTTGGG